CAAACTCATAGCGATCCTCCTCCCTCAGCCTTCCAAGTCCTAGGATTACAGGTGTGTGCCACCACATCCAGCCAAGGAAAACGTATTTTTGGTGCTAATTATATATTTTTCTAGCAAAAGTTGAAATAAAACCTACCTATTCAAATTTTTACAGTGGGAAAAGTGACTTTGTTTCAGCTTTGCCATCGCTTGACTGTGTGGCCTGGGGTAAGTGAGTACCTTTCTCTGTCTCTTCACCTTGTGAATTTGCAGAACTCAGGGCCTATAAGAGTCACCCTGTCTTGGAATACCCCCTGCCACTTTGGACAAAGTGATGTTCGTTCTCGCTGGGCACCACTGATGATGAGCAGTAACCCTGCGTGGCAGCCTAAGCCCAGTGCACTTTGGCGCCTGGCCTAGATCAGGTCCTTTCACTGGGCTTCTCATGGGTGCTGGTTAGACCTTTCGGCCCCATCCTTCCTCCACATGCCTGTCCTATACTGGTGAGTGCTCCAGTGTGTCTCCAGAGGCTGAGCACTGTCGGGCAGGGTGGGGTTCTCCTCTGTTGCAGTTCTGACACTTCCGTGAGTGATGTCCATTGTTACAGTATCAGAGCTCTCGTTGACAGGCGTGTCTTCTGTGCCCCTTCACAGGTGAGACCTTTGTTCAGTCTTGCTGCCCTCTTGGTTACAGAAACAAGATTTATCCCCCTTTGAAAGGTGATGATATGGGATTGGAGTGACACTTTGGGGATATAGGGCCACGGGGGCAACTCATGAGCCTCACCTCAAGCTTTGTCCATGTTTAATACTGTTCGTCAAGGCTCCCAACCTCATTTTCCCACAGTTGGTGTTGAGGACTTGGGGGTAGAACTTCTACTTGGCTTTGTTGTATTTCACCATAGAGGATCTGGTCTGTTACTCAAGGCTGCTGAAATCCTTTTGAATTCCAACTACATCATCTTGCAGAGTTCAATCTTTTCAACTGGTGTCATCAGAAAACCTGATAAGCATGTAGCCTTTATTTTTTATACAAGTCATTGATAAAAATGATGAAAAGGAAAGAGTCAGGGGACTGAATACCCCTGATGCTGTTAGAAAACACTCTCTGCATTAGTGTCAGTTCATTAATTCCCACTCTTTGGGTAGTGGCAGTGGCATGGCTGGGGGAGGGGGTCTGCTCTGGGCAGCACATTTTTCTCTATATCTCATTTTTAAATTTTCTGTTTAAATAGATTAACATACAGTATTCAGAAATGTCGGAGGGTGGCAAATTGAAGGACTTCCCCAAGCTGCACAAACTCCAGCTAAGCCACTGGGTGGTACCATCCTACTAGCTATTAAATCCTCCTAGTATATAGGCTTGCACTTATCTCTGTATCTTTTTTTTCCCTTAAATTCTTTTATTGGTACATTTTAGGTATACAAGATGTTTACATTTATCATTGGGTGCTTGTACCTGTACATGATGTATCTTGGCTCTTATTTTTCCCCCCATTACCTGTGAGCCTTTCCCTATTTACATAGACTTCATTTCCATTTTTTTTTCTTTTCTCATAATTTTTCCTTTCCCTTCTTTCCTTTCCCCTTCCCCTCTCACTACCCCTACACCTTTGGACCTTTTAATATTTCAAATTATCATTATTCATTTTAATCATTTTAACCCTTATTTACACTTTCAGTTTCTCAGACTAGAGAAACTATTCGGTATTTATACACGTGTATCCTATTTATTTCACTTAAGAGTATGGCCTCAAATGCATCCATTTAGCTATAAATGTCTCCAGTTTCTCATTCTTTATGGCTGAGTAGTATTCCATTTTATAAAAAAAACACATCTTCTTTATCCAGTTTCCAGTTGATGGGCACTTGGGCTGTTTCCAAGCTTTAGCTATTACAAACTGTGCTGCTGTAAACATGGGTGCGCATATGGCACTATGGTATGATTCTTTTAATTCTTTTGGGAAGATTCCCAGGAGGGGAATAGCTGGGTCAAATGGGACCTCTAGTCCTAGTTCTTTGAGGTATCTCCATACTGACTTCCACAGTGGTTGCACCAGTCTGCACTCTCACCAACAATGGAGAAGGATTCCTTTCTCCCCACATCCCCGCCAGCATTTGTTATTGGTTGATTTCTTGTTAGCAGCCATTCTTTCTGGGGTGACGTGGAATATTATCTCTGTATCTTATTCACAAGATATAGGAAAGAAAGATTGGCCCTTGCTCCCGTCTCCCTGCCAGTACCCTTCAGCTCTTGGAACATCCTGCCTGATAAGAGCCTGTTTACCTGAGGCCTTGGGCCATGCCAACAGGCTCTTCTAACTGGGATATATGGTAGGTTTCTTGGGCCACATGATATCAACTTGACCTCTGGAGAGGCTGGAGAATAAGGTCTGCCATGTTGGGATCCATCAGATCTGCATGATCCACCCCCAGTATGAACCCTGGATAGGAGCTTCAGGTGAGCTCCCTTCATCAGCAGTGCTCTGCCTGTATCACATACATCATTGCCGAAGAAGTAAGTGTTGTGACCACAACTCTATCAGGAGAGGACAACTGGGAACTCATGCTTGGTCCCTTTTGGACTCTGTTCCACACATCTCTTCACTCCACTGAGTGCTATCCTTTACCCTTCTGCTGTTAACCACCGTAACTGTGAGTACTAAGGCTTTTCAGAGTTCTAGAAGTCGCTCCAGCACATCAGTGAACCAGAGGGTGGTTCTTAGGATGGCTGAACTACAACAGGAATCTCAATGTTACATTAAATGTGTCTTTCTTTGAAATCAGAGTACAGTTCTCTCTGGTTTTCTGCTCTTTGATTTCCTTAAACATCTCCTGGAAAAGATACCCTGTGAAACAAGTAGGTAGTCCTTTCTCTGCCTCACGAAGCAGGCTCCTCCCTGTCCTGCCCAAGAGACTCACCTTCCCCCTTGGCTGCCCATGTGGTTTAACAAGTGCTCATTCCAGTGCACTTTTGGGGAAGATACCATATTATCCAGGAGAATTCCAAGCTTGGGTTTCAGCTCCTACTTTTTAGTGAAGTGTCTTCCAAAACTGAAATGTTATCTGGGGAAGAGCATTCCACCCTACTATCATCCATTTACACATTTATTAGTTTATACATTCATTCACCCAAGTGAATCAGTCCACAAATGGAGCCAGGCTGGCAGTAAGAGTGAAGTTTGGATGAGGGGACTGTTGGGGCTTTCCCTGTGCATGAGGGAGGGTGAAGAAGGTTGTTCCAGACTGGGGATCAGGGATCTATCGAGGCATGAGGGGAACAGTGTTGAAGGTTTGATGGAGAGCTGACAACAAGGCAGATCTGCACCCTGATTTTTGTTAGGAAATCAGAGGGTGAAGACCCACTCTCTATTCCTTGTCTGGTATCCTTGGGACAAGTGGGCAGTGACTTTCCAGAGATGGAGATTCTCCTGGGGTGAAGGGAAGTGCAACCAAGCTGGGCATGTGAGGCAGGAGTGTCCACAAAGAAAGAAGGAGCCCACTCTCTACCTTATTGCACAAGGGGTTTAGGGAAAACCATGTTCTTGGCACTGCAAGGGGAAAGGTGTCACTAAGTAGAAGAGAATTATCCCTTTAAGGATAAGGTTTTATTTTACCTCTGTCCCATATTATTCCTGTGAGTTGAACCAAGACATCATTTAAAGTGGAGACAGTTTTACTTCAGTAAGGGTGATGCCAATGCCTTTGGTTCTCTCCTCAGAGGTCATTTTTGTGACTTCACATGATAAGGGTGTTTTTATCTTTAAATCATTTGTAGGTATATATTGGGAAAGAGGTTTTGTTTTTCCTTCTGACTCTGCTTTTCCTTCATCCTCCACTTGAAGACCAAAGGGTGATCAGACCTTAACATAACGACATGGGACAGTTCAATCTTCCCTGTCCCCACACCTTAGAAGACCACAGAACCCATGCCCCAATAAGCCCCACCCTCTCACAGAAGGCAGAGATCTTAAGGGGATCTATTTGTACCCTCTTGTCACCACAAGTGTTATGAGGTGTAGAGACACAGGAGCCATCAGTTCCCAAATGGGTGATCTTCACATTTAAAGCCACTAAAAATGGAAGTGTCTTGAGGTCAGGAATCACAGGAATGTGTCCTTGAATTGAGATTTTGGCCACACCTGACCTCTGACTCAGGGATTCGGGACACTTAAGCCACATAAGATCTGGAAATGCAAACTCTCTTTTCTCAATGGTGCCATAACTCAACTTGGGCAGCCTTTGGCCTGATGCTTTGTATGCCAGGAAGGCTCCCAGCTCTGCAGAGGGTATTGCCTGGGAGCTCTGTCCCCCGGTACCAGAAGCTCTTTAGCTTTCCGTTACTTTGCCCAATATGTTTGCAGGGCAGTGTAATGGTTAGGGTCTGTGTATGAGCATGAGCTTGACTGTTTAAGTCCTACCACATGCTCTTAAACATTGTGTTCATTGGTTTCCTCCTTTGGAAAGTATCAGTGGTAATAATAAAACCTACTTCTATGGGTTATTATGAAAATGAAAAGATTTTATAAGGGACATGGTCCATAAGAAAATACCCACAGTAGTTATTCTCCTTCTCAGCCACAGCTCCTAACCCTAAGCCTGGATTCTCAGGGGACCGTGGACTCCTGTGCCCCGAACTGCCACAGTTGTGCAAGTACTCTTGAGTCTCCTGTTACAACTCGGAGCCGGCAACAGACCAAAATAAAGGGGTTGGGGGGGGCAGCGGGGAGGGCAGAGCCAGCCTCAGGAGGGAGTCTGACCAGGTCAGCTGGGAATGCCTGTCAGCAGTCCAGGGTGGCTTCTCTTCTGCCTGGCTCCTGCGTGGCCTGAGGTGAGTGAATGACTCATGCCGGTGCCCTCCCCACCCCTGTGCCCAAATGCTCAGCTCTCCCCCGGGCTGGGGCTCACCTAATCCCCACAGTGGGAGTCGGGGGGCATCTGCGCCTGTGCAGAGGTCTAGGGTTGCACAGTGGTGACTTAACACTCTGAAGCATGTGCAGCTGAGGCCTCTGTGCAGCTGAGGCAGGCAGCGAGGTCACACTGGCAGCCGCTCCCTCTCCAGCCCCGATCTGGCCTCAGGCAGCCGGTGCCCTTGGACCGAGAAAGGGATGGCCGAACAAGAAGGCAGTGGGCTGCAGGTCCTGCTGAGTACGCTTCAGGTAGGAAGGGGTAGAGAGGGCACAGGACCTGGTGGGCTGGGTCTTTGCCCAGTTGGCTAGTGTTGGAGTCATGCACACGCTCTCCCCTCCGGCAGCCAGTGTCCCTGTTTGCTAACTAGGCAATTGAACAGGAGTCGGCTTTCACCGTGAAGCTGACCTAAGTGATGCTAAGGTGTTTAAATATTGAACACGACAATGTTGATGATTGCTCTGCTTAAATTATTGAACCCAGTGGGATCAGAGGCTCTGGCTAAAAGATCCAGCTTTGCTAGAGGTGGAAAAGATGGGGATAAAAAAGCTTGTCTGGAAAATGAAGGAGACATATTATAGCCACCCCCAGACAAGGCTACAGATCTGCTGGGAGCTTGTAGAACTATCTGGGAGGAAAGGGAACCTGGGGGAAGGGACTCCCCTGGGCTGCTGCTAAATGGCTCTATTATGGCACTTCCAAAATGTATCTGGGTCAGAATGGCCCAGAATGCTTGCTAACAGTGCACATTCTCAGGTAGAGTCTGGCCAGAAGTCATCTGAATCACCAGGTGGAGGAGCCTGGGAATCTGCATTTCCCTGGTGATTCTATTCACTGCTAATTTTGAGAATCTTTGCTCTAGAGGAGTGTTTTGCAATCTTGTCTGCACTTTGGAATCACCAGGAGAGAGCTAAAAAATCCTGATGCATGGGAGTCACCTCCAAAGATCTGGATTTAGTTGTCCAGGGAACAACCTGAGCATTTGAAGTACGAAAATCCTGAAGGTGTCTTAATGTGTAGCTAAAGTTGAGGACCACTGCCCTACAGACTGGAGAAGATGCTTATCTGCATTCAGAAGATATCAGAGCTCAAAGAGGCCCAAGGGATCTTCTGCTGCAAGATTTCTAAACCTGAAGTTTGTGCATGGGGATCACAAAATGATGGGCTTCATGAACCCTTGCCCCAATTTAGAATGTGAACTTTTTGCACTTATGTTCATTTTTTCCTGTTGTGAAAAGCTTCCTTAATTTTCCTGTATCACAGGATCTCTAAAGAGATCTATTTTTCTAAAAGTTTAAGAACTAATAAACCCAGCTTTCAGGTGTATGGGTATACAGACAAGGAAACGAAGTTTTACAAGTGAAGTAGGTTCCTCAGTGTGATCTGACTGTTTAATAGAGTAACTTGGGCTAGCATTCAAGAACTTCAAAATCCAATTCACTTAGTGTCTTTTCACTCTTTTTATCTGGTGCATGCAAAGAAAGACTGCATCTGAGTCAGGGGTGTTGAAGGTGAGACTACATCTCAAAACAAGTTTGCAAAATACGTCTTCTGGGTGTATGATTTGAGAGTCAGGTGTAACAAGTTAACATTCTGAGTGTCTTTCTAATTTCCGAACAGTTGTGTGGAAACCCTGATTAACTGTGATGAAACAACTGGAAGCTTGTAATAAACAGAATTTCCTTTGAACTAGCTTTTTAGGAAAAGAGTACTGAAGGGCCTGGGATTTAGCTCAGTGGTGCTGCCTCCTGCCTCACAAGCGCAAGGTCCTGAGTTCGATCCCCAGTACCAAAACAAACAAACAAACAAAAACAAACGTACTGCAGAAAGTTGGCAGTAGGGGTTTAGTGAAAATGAATGTCCTGAACTTGGCCTGGAAGTTGCTTCCCACCACAGGGGATTTAGAATGGATATTTAGAATGATCACTCCAGGGTACTGCAAGATTCTCAATTATCAAAGAAAGATTTAATTATGTTCAGCAGGTGCTACTTAGTTCCCAATGAACCAGAATATTAAAATAGCAGCAACATACTTCTTGTGTATACTCCACATGATCAGAATTTGGTTGTAGAATTGACTTAGGTTCCCAGCTTGGTCCCAGCAATGTGCCTCCATGAATCCTATTTCTCTCTCCATAAAAGTCAGAACTCTGAAACACTTCAAAAAACAGAACTCAGAGCATGCATTTTTTGGAATAATCTTTTATGGTGGGGTTGATGCCTTTTTCCCACTCTCACTCCTCGTGGACTTTAAACTGGTGGAGCCCACAGAGCTAAGAGGCACTGGTTGAAACATTCTTCATCGGGGGGGGGGGGGGCGTGTCTTGAAGATTTTACCAATTCAGACAAGTCACTCTCTCCTTGTGCATAAAGATGAACAGAAAGCTGTGTGCTGGTTTCCAAACCCCAGGGGAAGATGACGGAAAAGTTTGAACAGAATTCCATCTTACAAGTCCTCTACATCGTTGCCCAGGGAGGATGAAAGAGAATAGAGGGCCAGAAAGAGCAAGCTCGGTTGACAAATATCCCTATGACATGATCATAGAAGTCTCCTCCCTTGAGAATGTCATCATTTCTGTCTCTTTGAGAGTCACAAGGAAATAGCAGTTTTTACGCTCATTATCTTCTCCTGCACAGTGGAGGAGGAATGGTTTTTTTCTACCTTATATTTGGCTTGAACATGTAAGAATCAGTTTTCTATCAAGACATTTTCCCTGCTCCTGGCCTTGGCAACTTGGGTTTGAGGCAGAAAATCAGATAGGTTCACAGATGTCTGGGTGAAGGGGTGGCAGCCACAGTATAGGTGTGAGAGGCAGATGGACTAGGTCTAGCCCCATTTCTGCCTCTTGCCAGCTGTTCATCCTTAGGCAAGACCTGCCACTTCCCTAAGCCTCCATTTATATATCTATAAAAAGGGAACAATAAAAGTAGCTTCCTAAGCACTTTGTATGAGGATTAAGAGAATACATTTAAAAAACGCTTGTAAACTATAAATGGCTATTTAAGTGACTGTAGTTTTCATATTTCCCTGGTTGAGCACACAGCAGAAGAACTGGAAACACTTGCCTACACTTTTCATCAGCCTGGCCTGATTTTTTCCTGGGTGGACTCCAATATACTTGGAAAAAAGGAAGGTGTCTCATTCTGTCCTGCTCTCGTCTCTCCATGTGGTTTGAGCTAATGGGGAAGATGGGGAATTGCCAGGGGAGCAGGATATGGGCTCCATGCCACTTCTGACTCTGAGCCCTTATCCAGCAGGATCCCACAAAATGCCAATTAAGTTCCTTATTGAAACATGAAAAATGTATCATTATTAGGTCAGCTTTGGCACTCTCTGGGCTGGGATATGGGCACATTTTTGCTGTTTGCATTCATACTTTATTATTTTATGTTATAACTGCTCAAACTGAATCCCAGCTCTGCATCTTTGCCAAAATGTGCATAGCTGACTCCTTTTCTCAACTTGGGTTCCAATATCATCATCTATTATGGATTGTGAATAAGACTTCAGGATGTGAGGTTTCCTGTCTCGAGTTAACATCGACCTTAGATAATAGAAAACCTGGGCTGTGGCAAGCAGTTCACTTATTCCCTTGGACTTGATCCTCCAAAGATTATTTTCAAGACAAGAAGTGATTTTGGCCCCTGGGTTGCACAAGGGGATGGGTGGAAAAATGACGACTGATATGTTTCATTCATAGCACTTAGGAGTTTTGTTTCCAAAACATGTGCTTGATAATTTCCCGTGTAAAACCCTCCATGGAGGATGTGGGGATGTCCATCTATTGTATGTATCCATAGGCCAGATGGAGCGGAAACTGAACTTTCCCCTTGGACAAATGCAGGGAAGAATTTTCCTTTTAGGTAGCAAACACTACATAAACTTTCCAAAGCTCACTAAGATTCCTCCCTGGTGAAGTTTGAGGCTTTCTGGGTTTGTTGGAGACTCTTATATCAACTGTAACACAAAGATGGACTCTATATTAGTCAGTTTTCTGTCACTGGGAGCAGATACTGGACATACACAACTTCAACCAGAAAAGGTTTGTTTTGGCTCATAGTCGCAGAGGTTTTAGTCCATGGTTGGCTGGCTCCAAGGCAGAAATGACATGGCAGATGGGGATAGTGGAAGAAAGTTGCTCAACTGATGGGACTCAGGAAGCTGAGAGACAAGGAGGGAAAGAGCCGGGGGGGGGGGGGAAGGGGCCAGGGACAAAAATACATCTTTCTAGGTCACACTCTAGTGACCCGACTGCTCCAATCAGGCCTCATTACCTGACAGCACATTCAGCTATGAACTTATCAATAGATTAATTCACTGATGAGGTCAGTGCCCTCATGATCTAGTTGCCTTCCAAAAGCTCCCCCTTTGAACACATGAGGCTTTGAGGGATGCATTTTTTGATTCAAACTGAAACAGAAGCAGACCGAAATCTGTTTTTAATTTTGAGTCTCAGGAGAAGCAAAAAAAGAAAAACTCATAAGGACAAGCACCAAATTGAAAAAGGAAAAAAAAAAACTATCAAGAAATAACATTTGAGCTGGGTGTTATGGTACACACCTTTAGTCTTAGCTACTTGGGAGGCTGAGTCAGGAGGATTGCAAATTTGAGGCCATCTTGGAAAGTCTCAACCAAAACCAAAACCAAGAAAACCAGTTGGGAATGTAGTTTAGTGTTCGCTGGATTCAACCCCCAGTATTAGAGAAGAAAACAAAACAAAGCAAAGTCCATCAGTACCTAAGGAAAGATTGTGCTAGTCAGACTGGATGGTGAGGGGGGTGATGGTGGTGCCTAGGGGCACACTGAGCTGGAAGTGGGGAGAAGTCTTCACTTAGTACTTTTCCCAAGACTTTGTTGTTTACACAGTTTCTTAAATTCATTGGACTTAAAGATTGGAGAAAATGAACGATTTTTATGGGTGCACTTTTGACCAAACTCATCTCCATTACTTCCTGTTGCTCTGTCTGCCACTTGTGGACAAGATATGGCTGGCTGTCATATGGGTGAGGAGACTGATTGTCAAGGGAAGATTAAGCTGCTCAGGGCTCTGACAGAAACTTGGTAAAGCCCTAGACAGGGGCTGAGAATCAGGTCTTGTCACTAAAAAACCTTTCCAAGAGCCTGTGTTTCTGTGACTGAGAGTATACCTATTTATTTTTTTTTTGAGGGCATTACCTTGATCTTACTGAACCTGAGGATTAGAGGAATATGAATTCTCTACAACAGAGGGAAGCTTATATAGAACTTAGA